TCGTTAAAGGACGACTAAGCATAAAGGAACGTTCACTCAGAAAAATCTGGAAGGTGGCGTAAACGAATAACGGCGAATTAAAAAAAAAAAGCTGGCCGACTAAAAAAACATGCATGGAATTAAAAGGAGCACAAATACAACGTGTCGATTTTGAAAGGTAACGAACTTGTAAAAAAAAAATTTTTTTATTTTTTTTTTTTTTTTTGGTTGCTCAACAATATTTTATAAAGCAAGACATAAAAAAAAAAAAAGGCGTAAGTTGTTTTTTTTTTTTTTGTCTGCTTATATTATATTCGTGGATACACAATTTAAAAGTATATTCTTTGTTGCATGAACACTATCAGCTAAAGATGGAGGAATTATCCAAAGTCATAGCTGAATTGTTTAAATCCCAGCAGTTGAGTCAAGCTGAGTTAGTCAAATCCCAGCAGTTGAGTCTGCAACAACAAAGTGAACAGTTTGCTTTATTAAGAGAACAGCAATTAGCACAGCAGAAATATCAAGAAAAGAAAGAGGAGTTGAGTCAGCAACGTCAAAGGGAACAGGAAGAAATGCATGTCAAGGTTTTGGAAATTCAAAAGTTAACACTGGAGAAATTAAACAACAATCAGGCAAATGAAGGTAACTCTTCATATTCTAATAACATCATATTTAATTCGTTGGAAATTTTCAACTATGTGCCAGACGAAGGAAAAAACGTTTGAAGCGTATTTTTTAAACGATATGAAGATATTTTCTACACAGACTGTGAAAACTGGTCGAATTCAAGAAAAGTCAGTCTATTACTAAGAAAGCTAGGTACAGCGGAACATGGCAAATTTGTAGATTTTATTCTACCGAGAAGACCAAATGAATTGGAATTCTCGGAAACAGTGAAATTGCTAAAGGAGTTGTTTGGAGCAAATATGTCGCTTTGGCATAAGCGATGGTTATGCATTCAATGTCGCTAAATCCGACGATCAGGATTACTTAACATATGCATCTATAGTGAATAGACATTGTGACAATTTCAGATTGGCAGAGATTACGGTTGAAGAATTCAAGTGTTTAATTTTTGCTCAAGGACTGGTATCCAGTAAGAGTGCTGAAATAAGACGTAGAGTTTTGTCTAAACTCGAATCTGAACAAAACCTTACCCTGCAAAAGTTAGCAGAGAAGTGTCAGCGGGCCGTAAGTTTAAAGAAAGAGTCTCAAAAAATTAAAGAAGCTGGTATTGCTTATATTAAAAAAGTAAAAGAAACAGTCAAATTACCCATCAGAAAAAAAATTGGAGTAAAAAATTGGCGTATTTTAAAAATAGACAAGAAAAATTAAATGAAAAGAATGAGGAGAAAAAAAAAGGTTCCACCATTTAATTGTAGGATTAAAAACGAAAGACACTGGGAGGTAAATTGCCCATATAGAAATAAAAAATGTTTCGTTGTGCCACAAGAATGGTCACAAAGGGTCGTGTTGTAAAACGAAAAAAGTCAATAGCCGAATTAGACAAACAAATTCAAATATCAAATCAGATAGAGATTTGAGGAAGTATGTGACGACTGAAATATTGAAAAAAGAATATCAAATTTCAACTCGATTCGGGTTCAGATTTAACAATAATGAACTATAAAACATGGAAAAATTTAAAAAAATAGAACAATAATGAAGTCAACGAAAGCGCTCGAACAGTGACTGGAAAGGAAATTAAATTCGAAGGCGAGGTTGTACTTCCATGAAATTGAACGGGATAGTTAAAAATAAAAGTTTTCATTCTGAAAATGGAGAAAACTTGATGGGTACAGATTTTATTGAAACATTCGAATGGTGGGATAAACCGTTAAACTCATTCTGCAGAAAAGTAGAAAGTAATACGCAAACAAGACAGGACATTAAAGAGGAATTAAAGAAAAAGTTTCCGGAAACTTTCACACCTGGTCTTGGAAGATGTAACAAGTTTGAAGCCAAATTCGAATTAAAGGAAAATTTAATTTAATTTAATGCCAATTTTTAAAAAGAAATGTAATGTGCCAATAAACATGGAAATATTAAGCAAATCAAGGAGACTTGATTGTTAATCAAATATTGATTAGCTACAAGGATGTTTTTCATAGTTGCTTTCATCCTTTCTAGATGTAGATAATGTGATGAGGATGATGGCAATAAACATGGAAATATTAACCAAATCAAGGAGACTTGATTGTTAATCAAATATTGATTAGCTACAAGGATGTTTTTCATAGTTGCTTTCATCCTTTCTAGATGTAGATAATGTTATGAAGATGATGGCAATAAACATGGAAATATGAAGCAAATCAAGGAGACTTGATTGTTAATCAAATATTGATTAGCTACAAGGATGTTTTTCATAGTTGCTTTCATCTTTTCTAGATGTAGATAATGTTATAAGGATGATGGCAATAAACATGGAAATATTAACCAAATCAAGGAGACTTGATTGTTAATCAAATATTGATTAGCTTCAAGGAATAGTTGCTTTCATCCTTTCTAGATGTAGATAATGTTGTTATAAGGATGATGGCAATAAACATGGAAATATTAACCAAATCACTGACTTGATTGTTAATCAAATATTGATTAGCTACAAGGATGTTTTTTCATAGTTGCTTTCATCCTTTCTAGATGTAGATAATGTTATAAGGATGATGGCAATAAACATGGAAATATTAAGCAAATCAAGGAGACTTGATTGTTAATCAAATATTGATTAGCTACAAGGATGTTTTCATAGTTGCTTTCATCCTTTCTAGATGTAGATAATGTTATGAGGATGATGGCAATAAACATGGAAATATTAACCAAATCAGGAGACTTGATTGTTAATCAAATATTGATTAGCTACAAGGATGTTTTTTCATAGTTGCTTTTCATCCTTTCTAGATGTAGATAATGTTATGAGGATGATGGCAATAAACATGGAAATATTAACCAAATCAAGGAGACTTGATTGTTAATCAAATATTGATTTACAAGGATGTTTTCATAGTTGCTTTCAAATTTTTCTAGATGTAGATAATGTTATGAGGATGATGGCAATAAACATGGAAATATTAACCAAATCAAGGAGACTTGATTGTTAATCAAATATTGATTAGCTACAAGGATGTTTTTCATAGTTGCTTTCATCCTTTCTAGATGTAGATAATGTTATGAGGATGATGGCAATAAACATGGAAATATTAACCAAATCAAGGAGACTTGATTGTTAATCAAATATTGATTAGCTAAAGGATGTTTTCATAGTTGCTTTCATCCTTTCTAGATGTAGATAATGTTATGAGGATGATGGCAATAAACATGGAAATATTAAGCAAATCAAGGAGACTTGATTGTTAATCAAATATTGATTTACAAGGATGTTTTTCATAGTTGCTTTCATCTTTTCTAGATGTAGATAATGTTATGAGGATGATGGCAATAAACATGGAAATATTAACCAAATCAAGGAGACTTGATTGTTAATCAAATATTGATTAGCTACAAGGATGTTTTTCATAGTTGCTTTCATCCTTTCTAGATGTAGATAATGTTATGAGGATGATGGCAATAAACATGGAAATATTAAGCAAATCAAGGAGACTTGATTGTTAATCAAATATTGATTAGCTACAAGGATGTTTTTCATAGTTGCTTTCATCCTTTTTAGATGTAGATAATGTTATGAGGATGATGGCAATAAACATGGAAATATTAACCAAATCAAGGAGACTTGATTGTTAATCAAATATTGATTAGCTACAAGGATGTTTTTCATAGTTGCTTTAATCCTTTCTAGATGTAGACAATGTCATGATGATGGTGTCAATAACCATGGAAATATTAACCAAATCAAGGAGACTTGATTGTTAATCAAATATTGATTAGCTAAAGGATGTTTTTTCATAGTTGCTTTCATCCTTTCTAGATGTAGATAATGTTATGAGGATGATGGCAATAAACATGGAAATATTAACCAAATCAAGGAGACTTGATTGTTAATCAAATATATATTATATATATATATATTTTTCATATATATTTCATCCTATCTATATATGTATATAGGATGATAATAAACATAAATATATATATATAACCAAATATATATATATATATATATCAAATATATATATACAAATATATTTATAGTATATTTATATATATAGATATATATAATGTTATGAGGATATATATAAATAAATACAGTATAAATATATATATATTGTTAATCAAAATGATTGTATATATAGGATGTTTTTATAGTTATTTATCCTTTATAGATGTAGATAATGTTATATATATATATATATATATATATATTATAAATATATATATATTGATTATATATATATATTAGCTATAAGGATGTTTATATATATATATCTAGATGTATATATGTATATAGGATGATGGCAATAAATATATATATATATATAGGAGATATGTATTGTATATAAATATTGATTATATATATATATGTTTTTATATATATTCATATATCTAGATGTATATAATGTTATATGTATGATGGTATATATATGGAATATATATATATAAATATATATGATATTATATATATATATATATATATATATATATATATATATATATATATATATATATATATATATATATATATATATATATATATATATATATATATATATAAATAATAACTATATATATGAAGTTTTATTTTTTATCAAATTTGTAATTTTTATCTATATATATTTTTTATTCTGATATTAACAATTTTATCTACACACTGTTATTTCTGTAAATAATTCCTTTTTAACATTTGTTTATAGGTGTGGCTTGCATTTCACTGAATAACATTTCAACTACTATATTTTTAAAATACATTACAACTATAAAAATGTAATAAAATAACTATAAAAAGAACTATATTATGTACATCAAAAAATATCTATAACACATTTGAATTTCATTTTTGCACATCCTATCTTCATGAAGTAAATTTTGCTTTTTCTATTGTATGGAATTTCCCTCATCTCAGTTTGGCTATGTCTATCTATCTATGTTTGTTATCTATCTCTCTATCATTCTCATTTTGGTTGTTATCAGGTAATTATCTATCTATCTATCTATCTATCTATCTATCTATCTATCTATCTATCTATCTATCTATCTCATTCAGGTCATTATCTATCTATCTATCTCATTTAGGTCATTATATTTCTATTTATCTATTTATCTATCATATTCAGTTCATTATCTATCTATCTATCTGTCTATCTATCTATCTCATTCAGGTCATTATATTTCTATTTATCTATTTATCTATCATATTCAGTTCATTATCTATCTATCTATCTATCTATCTATCTATCTATCTATCTATCTATCTCATTCAGGTCATTATCTATCTATCTATCTATCTCATTCAGGTCATTATATTTCTATTTATCTATCATATTCAGTTCATTATCTATCTATCTATCTATCTATCTATCTATCTATCTATCTATCTATCTATCTATCTATCTATCTATCTCATTCAGGTCATTATCTATCTATCTATCTCATTCAGGTCATTATATATCTATTTATCTATCACATTCAGTTCATTATCTATCTATCTATCTATCTATCTATCTATCTATCTATCTATCTATCTATCTATCTATTTCAGTCTGTTCATATCTATCTCAGTCTGCTATCTATCTATCTATCTATCTATCTATCTATCTATCTATCTATCTATCTATCTATCTATCTATCTCATTCAGTTTATTATCTATCTGCCTGTTTATCTATCTGGCAACCTATCTATTTATCTATATTTACCAATTTTATAAAATACCTAATTTGTTAATTTAAAAATGTTAATCAAAAATTGGATAGACATATCCTGTCAATAATAATATACCAAACATATAGCCTGTAGTATAAGTTGTAAGATAACTTATCACCATTCTAATAACTGTCATGATAATACAATAGACCTTATTATCATTACCTATAATGCAATACTGACCAGCATATATAAATAGTTGAACCAAAACAAAATACACATGGCCTGAAGATTACATTGAATCATGAAACAGGCTGTTTCCTCTTGGTGTTGACCTCAGTATCCAGTTTTATATTTACATATTGTTTATCTCTGGTATTGAGCAATTTTATCCATATATATAGCATACCTTAAAAGAATATAGCCCTATAGATATATATTTGTGCCATTGAATATGTGTAGATAGGACAGTAGATAAACAGGTAAGTATTGTAAAGGTAACATTTAATGTCACCGGCCATGGGAAAGTGACAACATTGACTTTATGCTTTCATTGTCACCAATGTTAAATGAAGGAACTAAACATCAAGATTTTTTTTTTTTGTGTATGTGTGTGTGTGATGTGTGTGTGTGTGTGTGTGTGTGTGTGTGTGTGTGTGTGTGTGTGTGTGTGTGTGTGTGTTTCAGGAGACTTCTTTATCATTTTCCTATTTTCAAAATGCATGCCTAATTTTATCTTATTAAAATTTAAAATCCGTCCCAGACTTTTAGTTATTCTATTCACCCTAAAATAAAAAATGTTGGGTAACATTGTTTTAGGCTTTCTGGTTACTTTCAAATGTTGCTACATTTTTTCAAGGATTGTGTCCTGTTTTTTTTTATGTAACTGTTTTTGGTTAAGTATGACATTCTCACATTTGCTGGAACCAATTTTAAGTCACTCAAGGTGATGTCATAATGAAACTTTAGTAAATTTACTAACTATATAAAACAACTAATTAACAAATTTGAAGAAGTTAATTAAAATTGTATAGATCAATTTATTGATATTATTCAATCAAATATGTTTGAAAAAAGTTTTTTTAAAAAAATACACAAAAAAGCCGGGTTGGTGCTAGGGTTTATTGAATTACCCAAAAAAAAAACTTTGATATGGAGGAACTCCATCTTTCTAGTACATGTCAATTTCAAAGTTTTCCAACTTGGGGACCTTAAACCCTCGAAGGAAAATTGGGTGTGGTGGAAGGGCAGCACATTTTTAAATTACCAAAATTCAGGACGTTATACTATTTAAATGAAAATTTCAGTAGATATTCATTAATTATTAATTTATTTGATTAGGCACATCAGGATAAATGACGGTTTCATATAGGATACAGGTTTGATTATAATTGATTCAATGAGAAACGAATATTTTTTATGAAAATTTTTTTTGGACATTCAGGCTCAAATACTAAATGTTATTAATATTGTTTATTATCAAAAACAGAGCATTTACTTAAATATTTGTATCTATATAAAAGAATGTATAAACATAAAAATGTCTTAAAATAATTGTTGGACATTGTTCATTTTTTTATAATATATATATATATATATATATATATATATATATATATATATATATATATATAAGTGGTAATCAAAATTGTTTGGAAAACCTCAGATAGCTCAATTTGTAGTAGAATGTAAAAATTCAACCTAATTTTATTTTTGTCTTGTTATTGACAATTTATCAATAAAAGTAACATCTCCTTTTAGTTTTTTGGGGGGTTTGGTTTGTCACATGGTTATGGTTTTATTGTTTTTATCAATAATAAAAAATTGTTCTGTTATTTTCCTTTTTAGCCATTTTTACCCTGAAGATCCATTAAAAAAAACCTAGGAGGTCTGAAAAAGCTCCTTAGATTTATTCTATATATATATATATATATATATATATATATATATATATATATATATATATATATAATATATATATATGAACATTTAAAATAATCATGCACATCCATACAATGCCATCTTGAAATTTTGGGCCTGAATGAGGTATTTTCTTATAATTGACCAAATTCCAATGTTTGATCAGAATTTGGGAACCAATATTTTTTCAGCACCACATTATAAATGCATGTATTTATGATTATTCATTTGTCAAAGAAATCAAATTCTTGATAATATTAAACTCAGTGACATTTCCAGTATTTGGTAGCGTCCAGAAGTACTTGAAAACCATACTATTGATTGTCACAAAAAATGTGACTGAAATAGGTAGACATGTGCCATCAATAGCTGTATTAGCACAAGGTCATAAGTCACGGTGACTGAGTGTTTGATCACAATGGCCTTATTCAGAAATATGTTATCAGATCATATTTGCAGTTTCTTCCAGAAATTAGAATTATGGTTTGCTCAGTATGCTTGCAGTATAAGCAAGGTGGGCTCTGTGTTTGTTGACAAACATAAATGTGCCTGAGAAGAGTCTACAACAGGGATTAGCTAGCTATACTAGCTGAAGCATTTTGCTATTATAAAAGAAAAGAGGAAACCTCTTATGACAACACATACTTTTTGACTCAGTTAACAGGCAACTGTCCTTTTTTAACTATTTCTTAATCACTGTAACCCCAAACCCCTCCTGATTTGCTAAGACTGATTGCCCCCCAGCCTGGGTAGTTCCTTGTGACCCTCACTATCTTATCAACATTTGCTTTTTTCTATCTACATTTATATAAGTGACAAATTAAACTAAGTAGAACTGATATGAAAAATTTTTATAGATTTTTATGTCATTTTGAGATCTATTACTTTTTTTCAACCATATCTGTGAATTTGTTTTGTTTATACTAAGTCTAATAAAAAACACTAAATAAAACTCACTATTTTTTATTCATAATTTTGAATGTGTTAAAATTATTCATTTTTTTAACAAGAAAAATCTAGAGTTGATGTTAAAAATTGTTGCAATTAAAAGCTGGAATGATCTATTATGACATGTCTCTAAATTGTATTTAGATACATTGTATTTATTTTCAATTTTTCTAGTTGAATTGTTCAACTGTATTGCATATGATACATTATTATACATAATTAGTTTACAATAAAATTTGTATTTTATATGAATACTATCTTATAAATATTGAGATGTTGTAGAATGTGTGTATAGCAGGGGTGCTAGTATCATAGATTTGGTGGGGGTCCACATGACCCTTGCACTGCCTTTGTATACATGACCTAACAACTTTTTTTTAGCATGAAAGAGACTTTTGCCTCTGGACATTAACTTCAGTGTCCACTTTTATATATAGTTTCTCTATAACAATGGGGGCACAGTCCTATGGTTAGAGAGAATCTCAGTTGAGTTCCACCATGGAATATGTGTGCGAGCAGCGCTATATTGAGTCTGATTTGCTACCTTTTCATCACTGAGGCCCGTTCAAATAGTTGGTATGACAATTACATGATAACGTAACTGTCAGGGTTTCAAATCTTGGTAGTGGATGCGCACTGCTGATGAGTCCCAAATATAGGATGAAACAGACGTCCAGTGCTTTCTGCATTCTGTTGAGGTTTCTTCTAGACTCGATGAATTACTTAATTATAATTATCAATATATATTGTGTGTATTTAGGCAGTATTTTCTCATTGATGCATGTTTCATTAAATAATATAGACAAGTTTTGTCTATTTATTTTATGTAAATTCTTTTCATATCATCTGATAAGCTTAATAACATTATCATTAAACGAAGAAAGAAAATCACATTATTGATACATATTTTTTAATCCTATCTGAGCTTTCGGCTTACATAAGCCATTAGCAAAGATCACAATTACATTACAATATATAAAGCAATACACGGACACGACAGGGTTGATAGTCTGTTTCTGTTTACATGGAAGATTTACAAGCAATGACAAACTCATGCATATAAGATGCTGGAAGCGAAAATCACACCACAGCTCATGACATCACACATGACCATGCGAGAGTGAATTCAAGAAGTATTAAGTATGGGAAGCCGTTGGTATAAACCAATGGCTTCTATTATCAATTATAGGCATTTAAGAATATTTGTGGAGATTTCATAGTTTATTTTGTTCAGGTTAGGTTTCAACTGTTTTATGTAAATAGCTTCAAGTATTTGTAGTTTTTGTTTATTGTTTTCATGTTTAAGTATAGTTGTGTTTTCAACAAGGATTTTTCTGGAATTGTGTATGCAGCCAGGCATGTTGTTTTAAATGCCTAAAAATGTTCGAGTTTTCATTCAAATGTAGTGTCAAGTGTCACGAAAGACGAGTTTGTAGTGTATGTATATGTGTTTGTTGTTTGTGTATATATATATATATATATATATATATATATATATATATATATATATATATATATATGTATGAAGATAATGAGATAATGGAAAAGAAAAGTTATAAATGACTTGTTTCACCAAGTGTCTATTCCATCTCGGTTCTTCAGGTTAGAATCAAATAGCAAGAAGTCAGAATGAGTAGATGCTCTTGCTGAAACTTATCTTTTTGTTTTGGATACTCCTACAAAGACAAACACATATAATAATATTATATGTGTGTATATTATAATAATATATAGTATTATAATTTATAGTGATGTCTGCACACACACACACACACACACACACACACATACACATACCTATAAATTAAATAGGTTGTCGGAGTTAACTTCTCCTTTAGTTCGTTAACCCTTTCACCAGGGGTCTCTCTTCCTGGCTATAAATAGTTGCTGACCCTTCACCTCTTCCTCTCTTTTTCCTCAGGCTTTCAGCCTTACCACCTCGCAAATGTAAGAGATAGCATTTCCCAAATGCTGGGAACACGCTAAGCACAATACACACACACACACACACACATATATAATATTCACACACACACTTTGTCCTTTGTAACTGTTCCATGTAACTTGTTATTAATATATATATTTGTATATATATGTTTATTGGTCTTGTGTTTAAAATATGGACCCACATGTGTTCTTCTACTTCTACTCAACAACATCACAGCCACGGTCCACTACAAGGTCTTTCCTATAAAT